TACTAAATGAAATCGTATAAACTGTACCGTTCGAACTGTACAGTCTGATCGTAACGATTTCTCGTAGTGTGTATGGCGGGTATTACTTGTGTAAGAGGAAAAAAAAGAAACGGTTGGCAACCCTGAAAGTGCTGTTTCATTCAACACTGGTCACTGCGTCATTTCCGATTTTTCATTCTTTCTGAGTTTGGTTGGGTACCGTACGGTTGGTTGCTCGCCGACAAGTTTTCAATTAAAATGACTGAAACGTTAAAGTTAAGAGGCACTTTGTGTGGTCATAATGGATGGGTTACACAAATTGCCACAAATCCTAAATACCCTGATATGATATTGTCATCTTCTCGAGGTAAGATTTAGATTCCTAAATTTTGCGTATGTGCTTTAAATCTGTGTAAATCTTGATAATTTTAATGTACTTTGCTTAATCATGCGCTTATTTAAACATTCAGTGAGGTATTTTAGCTGATCAATGTAGTATTTTCAATAAACATGATGAACAAAACCTTTGCCACGCGAGTCCTGAGCGGCAAGCGGATATGGGGCTGACCATGTCTGTCTATATTTTGTACATTTTTTTATCTTGTTCAAGATTAATTTTAACTGTGTTGAATTACAGATAAAAGTCTCATTGTATGGAAGTTGACCAGGGATGAAACTAATTATGGTGTGCCGCAGAAGCGTTTGTATGGCCACTCTCACTTCATATCGGATGTGGTCTTGTCTAGTGATGGCAACTACGCTCTATCTGGATCTTGGGACAAGACTTTGCGTCTGTGGGATCTTGCCGCCGGCAAGACGACCAGGCGTTTTGAAGACCATACTAAGGTGTGACAGAACTTTACTTTTGTTTTGAGTTAGTGTCTGTATGATAGTGCTTGCGCCTATACGAGGCAGAAGACAAGTGTTGTGCCTTTGCGAGGCAGAAGATTCCTATGATGGAATGAGGTGCATCATATCCTTCAGGAATCTGTAAGTAGTTGTTATGGAAGGTATCAACTGTTGAAAATGCCATTTTGTTGCGCAATACACACTGATTCCGCCGGCCGCAGACTTATTCTCGGCTTAGTGATAACAATTCCTAAAACTTGTTGTGTGGTATGAGTTGAGCAACTTTATAATTTAATTTGCCGCTTGAGTCGCCAGGCATCTAAGCTGAACCTCGCAAGCCTCTGAAGTTATTCTTTTCCTAATTATAATTTCATGTTGGTGGGTGGTGTGTATTGGGCTAATAATTAGAGTACTTCTGTGTATAAGTCATTGTATTATTATTGTAACACTAATTCATATACCATTAACAGGATGTTCTGTCAGTCGCCTTCTCTGTTGACAATCGCCAAATCGTCTCTGGATCCCGTGATAAAACCATCAAGCTGTGGAACACGCTTGCTGAATGCAAATACACAATTCAAGATGATGGCCACACTGACTGGGTCTCCTGTGTGAGATTTTCACCAAACCATGCTAATCCTATCATTGTGTCTGCAGGATGGGACCGCACAGTGAAGGTTAGTCTCCTGTTATGAATGATTACTATGTTTTCATTTCAATAAAAAAAGTTTGTGTTTGCTCCAGGAATTTAGGGATTCTTTCTGAATTCAAGATTTTGAGAAAAAGAAAGATGAAAATACTATATAATAATTCCAAACTTATTACTTGTTTTTTTTTAATTGAGCTATTGTATTTATTAAACTAGCCTTCTTATTATTAAACTCTGAAAAAGTTATGCAGTGTTTAGTCTCTGTTCATAGAATTGAAACCATTGTATAAGAAATGATACAAAACCACAGCTTACATTAGTTACCTTCTATTTATAACTTTATCATCAAATGAGTAGGAGTATTAAGTTTTTCTGTAGTAAATATCTCAAAATAGTGCAGTAAGGCTCTCAATGCTGGAGTCCTGACATGGTTATCATGTATCACAGTTGTTATCTGTACCTTTATCATGGTAACTTATATAGCCCTAATAATTAAAGTAAAAATAAGTGGCTACTGTATTCCAATTTTACCTATAAAGTTGTGATAGCCTATCTCTGATATTATAAATATGACATGTCATACTGTGACCTAGTTATATCAAAGTAATAATTATCATTTTTCTCTTACAGGTGTGGCACTTGACCAACTGCAAACTAAAGATCAACCACTTGGGTCACTCTGGATACTTAAACACAGTGACTGTTTCTCCTGATGGTTCGCTGTGTGCTTCTGGAGGCAAGGATATGAAAGCAATGCTATGGGATCTTAATGATGGCAAACACCTTCACACTTTGGACCATAATGACATCATCACTGCTCTTTGCTTCTCACCAAACAGATACTGGCTGTGTGCAGCCTATGGACCCTCTATCAAAATTTGGGTTAGTATTTTGATATGGCTTTTTATTTCTAAATACAGTATAATCTCACTAATCCGGCACTATTCAAAACCGACGTTCCGATCTATCGTAGTGCCGGATTAGTGAGATTATACTGTACTCCAAACAAAAATGGACAATGTAAATTTTGCTTACTGAAAATTCTTTACTCTAAATAGAAGTTTGTCTGAGAAAGAAAATGTTATAAATGTTATTAATTTTTTTTCACAGGATTTGGAGAGCAAGGAAATGGTTGAAGAGCTCCGGCCAGAAATCATTAATCAGACTCAAACTTCCAAGTCTGACCCACCCCAATGCCTTTCTTTGGCATGGTCTACAGATGGTCAAACTCTTTTTGCTGGTTACTCTGATAATATTATTAGAGTCTGGCAGGTTTCAGTCTCTGCACGATAAGAAGTTTAAGTTGTCAGAAAGGGTTTCATTTATTTTTGTTCTAGTTATATTAACTGATAAAAATAAATGGAATTGTATGTAAAAATGTAAATTTTCATTTGATCTCCTTTTGAGGGTTACAATTATAATATGTTAGTTCATACTCAATAAGCTATTATGTTAAGGTTACTTATGCAAAGATTTGTTGCCTTTGTTGTGTAAATAAAATGACAGCAGCAAAGTTATTCAATAATGTATTATTTATCAAGTCTGCTTCTATATTCTAAATATCGTTTATACATATAGTTATTCAAGTATTGAAAACTGCAGCCCAGCAGTGCGACCCCATATCTCTCAGACCCTGAAGTAGGTACTATGTACCTTGCAATGTTGTTCCCAAACAGTGTCCAAGAAGAAAATCAAGCACTTATAATTTTCCAGAGTTACACACTTGTTAAGTGGGTGGTATGCCAGCCTAGCATACTCTTCACTTTCGGCACTATTTGAGAACATTTGTTGCCTTTTTTGTAATACCTACCAGAATGGTGGAGTTCTAGGCGACACTCTGAAACTACGTAACTGCGCTATCAGCACAGACAACCTTCGATTAAAATGAAAAGTTAATCTAAGGGCTATACGAATACTTCTCGTTAGTTGTTCGTCAAAGTATGTAGGAGCAACAAAAAGCGCCACAACGATAACAAATGAGGAGCTGGCGAAGATAAGAGAGTGGTATGATTATGCATCTGGTCTAACTTCTTTTTTTTACATTCAGGTTTTGGTTCTGTTGAATTTGAATCTCAAATAATTTTCAATCAAAACCGAATAAAACAGTTATAAATTACTAAATTTTTAAATTAAAAACCATGCCAAAAACTTCTGGAGGTATGTCATTCAGTTTTATACAGCTCTTGTAAAATTAGATTTTATGTAATTATACCTTATTGTTCGCCAGCTCCTCAAATATAAGTAGGTAAGTTATTATTACTTTCTAAACTTAAAGGCCTATCTATTGAATAGGTTAAAATTGAAAAGAGAGGGTTATTGATACTGGCCATTAATCTGCACTCGCGAGCAACCAAATCGACTCGAGCGCTAGCTCTACATTCAAACATTGGTGCCAATTCTGGCGTGATTCTCTAAACTTCATTCTGTATAAAGAATGACAAGGATATACTGCTGTTAAATTTAAGTTTAGGTTTAGAGAATCATGCTAGGATTGACACCAATGTTATGAATAAAGATATACAACATTTTAATAAACATGTCATTTGAAAGCTTGAAACCTAAGCTTTGAATAAAACAAGTAGGTACCAATATGTTCACTTGCGCAATTAGGGCGCATGGGACAAATTTCTCATGATAGACCCACCATACCCCTGGGGGTAGGGTGGGACTGAACCATACCACCGTTGTAGTGCTGGGATTTTATGGAAAAATAGATACCTAACAGATACAAATAATATTTAGTTTATTAAAAAAACCGAAATCCATTCTGGCAAAACCTAAAAATATAACAAACAGATAAACTTAAAAGATGTTAATTTATGTTCATAATTTGTCTAACGCATGCCCAATGGTGATTTCGTTTGCACTAACTGCATTTGGACTTCTGCTATAAAATCATTAATAAATTGTTCCGCTAGATGTTTTTAGGAGTAACTTTTGTTTTATGAATATTGTATAGAACATTTAACAGTCGCATTAAAGTTACTGTATTTTTATTTAGAATTTTATTAAATTTTGAATGAAACAACTAACCTATTTGTATTTAAATGTCACTCAATAAACAGTTTATCAACTTGTACAAGAAGTCTAAATATCAAGCTGGGTGAAGTTGAACCTATTGCAAGGGACAAAAGGATACTTGAAATAAATACACGATAACATTATTATTGAGAACAATTAAGTAAAAATGAATTATAAGTACATATTTATACTATGTCGTATGGGATGATATAGCACCAGGTACCTACGTAATATTCGGAAAAACAAAACCAGAAAGCACATAGTGCACAGCACTACAGGAGTATGGTTCAGTCCCACCCTACCCCTGGGGGTATGGTGGGTCTGTCATGAAATTTCTCACTGCGCTACCTCTACCCCTATAAAAACCCCCGTGACCCTTCAACCCTTACCAGTCTAAAAAAACATGTAACCTTCCTTTGGATAGCGTTTCGAACTCCTATTACCCATGCGACTGTCCCTGTCCCCCCCACCTACATTAAGTCCACCGCCTGCTCGCAGGTCGTTCACCGGGCCTCTCATGGGTCTCACCCGGTGGGCTTGACCGCACCGAGGGCGATGGTGAAAAGTAGGGTGGGGAGGGACGGACACCAAGGACCACTCCGTTGAAACGGAGCGCGCACTCGCTGCATCTAAAAAGGAATCAATCCTAAATTAGACTCCCGCACGCCGCGACGCCTCGAACCGTTGCCTATGGTGGCGGATGTGAGCTGGTATCTCCTTGGAGGGTAAAACCGAGCTCGTTTTCGTGCCTGGAGGAGGACTGGCAGCTGATGGGTATATTACAAATATTCCCCTGGAACATGTTGTGCCCTATGCAGGATTTGTTGGCAAAGACTTCATCCTAATGCACGACAATGTTCGATGCCACACAGCGCGCGTTACTCAGCAGTTCCTTCTAAAAGTCGATTTGCTCACAATGGACTGGCCTGCACTCAGTCCAGACCTAAATCCCATCGAGCATTTATGGGACGAGCTCAAACGAAGGGTACGAGCAAGAAATCCAGCCCCTTCAAGTCTAGAAGAATTGAAGGCAGGTTTGCTAGAGGAGTGGGAAGTTATTCCTCAAGACACCATGAAAAAATTAATAAGCTCAATGAAGAACTGACTATGGGCTGTAATTAGGTCTATGGGGGCATTACCAAATACTGAACCAATAAATTTTATACTTATTAGGGAAAAAACGTGTTTTATTTGTGTCAATTCTCCATTATCCATAATCCCATTTTTCACCCATTTAAGTTCAGACACCAATAATATAAGTATACATGGATATTAATAATGATGATATCTCATAAAAGCTGAAGTTTCAAGCTTTCAAATGACATATCATTTTTATTAAAATGTTGTAAACTTAAAACAAAGTTTGAATGCAGAGGTAGCGCTTGAGTCAATTTGGTTACTCACAAGTGTACATGTACAAATTAAAAGTTATTGAAAAGTGTCTTTCCTTAGGTCTATTTACATTGGAATCAAAAGATTTGTCAGGAATTGGTAGTTCTTCCTGATAAATAAAAATTGCTTGACTAATAGTAGCAATGTTTTTATTTTTAGGATATTATTTTTGTAACTTTCTCCTATACATATTTAAGCTTTTAAACAATGTTCTTTCCAAAATAATTTCAATTGCAGTAACTTTTTACGAAAAATTCCTTTAATATAAATTATACATTATTTATTAAATCTATGAACTAACAGCACCAGTCCTTACAAACATGTATTCAGCACTAATGTTTTGTCAATAAATATTTAGACTAAAATATCTCAATCATTAGTCCCATTTCTGTTTAGTCAATTACATTGAGTAATTTGTGTTGTGATTTTTCTTAAGTTATAATTGGGTTTATTGGCCAACCAGATTCATCCAACAAGTGACTACCATCAGTTACTTCAGCTGGTCCATCACCAACTTTAGTATGGATAACATATTTGACCAAATCCTTTTGGTTAGACTGTGCAAAAAGTTCAAGTAAATTAGTATTTATCATTTCACAATGAGTTGGCAATCCTGTAACAAATGTGTCAGGGTTTGATGATGGAAAAATATGTTGAATCAAAGGTAAAATCTTTGGTACTTCATTCTGAAGAAGGTATAAACAGGCATTTGGTCCAGCATCAAATGTATAAGCCACTTTAATTTCACCATGAAAATTATTGTACTTATGAATGAGTTCAATTATTTTGTTTGATATGTCATTCATGTATGTGATGGGAGGATATGAATCCAGACATATTGCATGAAATTGATTACTATCTTTCATAGTAATTTCACCAAATTTAACAAAATCCTTTGCTAAAATTGCTTCACATATGTCTTCAGTTCTCTTAGGTACACAATTCTGTATTCTATATTGAAACAAGTCTGAAGTTTTAGTTGATATTCTCATGCCTTTAGTAGAACTTATTTTCTTTTTTGTATCCCCAACTACAAGTATCAACGCATGCATCTCAGGCCAGTGAGATTTATCTGCAATTTGCACTGCAATTGAATCTGATCCATCGATTTTGACGCCAGAGTGCCACCGTACGAAGCCTCCATAAACACTGCGGCAAGCACTGCCTGAACCAAGCCTGGCTATAGAACTTACATCTGATTTGATTTTATAAACCTTGGCTAGCGCAGATACAAGACATGCATACCCGGCAGCTGATGATGCTAACCCAGCCGCAGTAGGAAAATTATTTTCCGAACAAACATGGATCTTCCATGATAGAAAAACATCGTCAACACTTTTTTCAACTGTTGCTCTAACTTTAATTTCTCTGAGGCAATTCTGCATACGTTCATTCGAAAAAGATTCTTTCACACCATTTAACCAAATCTCGTCTTCCAAAAAGTTAGGACTTACACAGACCGAAGTTTTGGCGCACATTACATTCGTATCCAAAGTAGCACTAACGGAATCATTTAACGGTAAAATTAACTCTTCGTTGCGTTTCCCCCAGTATTTTATAACAGCTATGTTAACTGGAGCTACCATAGTAATAATATCACTCATAATGTCTGATGAATCAAAAAAAATAATCAAAAGATGAGCCTGCTAAGGGATTTTTTTATCAAACTAAAATAAAAATTACAAACTTTGTTAACGTAACGTACACAACACAGCGAGCGACAGCGCAGGACTGCGTTCAAAACGTACTACCTTACCTACTCTTTATGTGCAACAAATGTCAAAGAAGACATTAGTTTCATACATAAGGGTACGGCCAGAGTGCACTCAGATTCAGACTCAGAAAACAAGCACGAGAAATATACAGTGTAGTTTAAGCAGGTTGCCTGCTGCCACTATGGCCACCCTGCTTTAACTACATTGTTTATTTCTCGCGCTTGTTTTCTGAGTCTGAATCTGAATCTGAGTGCATTCTGGCCGTACCCTATGGGTGCGGCCAGAGTGCACTCAGATTCAGAGTCAGATTCAGATTCTGAAAACAAGCGCGAGAAATAAACAGTGTAGTCGAAGGGTACGGCCAGATTGCACTCCTGATTCAGATTCAGATTCAGACTCAGAAAACAAAGCGCGAGAAAAAGCAAGCAACCTGCTTAGACTACACTGTTTATTTCTCGCGCTTGTTTTCGAAATCTGAATCTGAGTGCACTCTGGCCGCACCCTATGGGTGCGGCCAGAGTGCACTCAGATTCAGAGTCAGATTCAGATTCTGAAAACAAGCGCGAGAAATAAACAGTGTAGTCGAAGGGTACGGCCAGATTGCACTCCTGATTCAGATTCAGACTCAGAAAACAAAGCGCGAGAAAAAGCAAGCAACCTGCTTAGACTACATTGTTTATTTCTCGCGCTTGTTTTCGAAATCTGAATCTGAGTCTGAATCTGAGTGCACTCTGGCCGCACCCTATGTCAAAATATATATAGGAACAATGAACCAAGTACAACTAAAAACCTTAAAAAATATAATATAATAACTAAAATATATTATTAAAAGGAGTCCCTTTAGGCAAGGTTCGGAAGATACTGACAGCGTTCCCCCTTTGAATAGCTAAACTAATTCTTTGTCCGAGGTAGCTGCCAGCTCTTCGGTCTCCAGTGATGGCGACTAACCTTTTTGACATTTCCTTAAAAAACCTTATAGCGTTAGGACCCCACGGACCAAGGGTCTCGACACCGAATGGGACAAAATCATATTGTATTTGCATGCCTGCCTTTGCTTTTTCAGCCGCTTAAGTCAAAATTGAATCGTCAGATCAACGGTAAAAAGTTGCATTCATAGCGTAGGTATTGAACGTAGGTAGGCCAGAGCTGTTTACAAAGGTACGAAGACTGTTCAAAATTGTATGGAGTTTGAGGGTGGTAGCAGTCTTCGGTAGACTTAATTTTTTTTGACACGTAGGGCATATAAAGTAGCGGCACGCTATGTTATATGCCGTTTTGACGTTTGTGCGCCCATGAAGTTTCGTATTTGAAACAAATAATTATTGTTCCTCATTGATATCAGAGACGCGCATTTGCTCATAAAAATCGAATTGGTAATTTTAGAGCGTAGAGTTAAAATTTTATTTTCTACTGTATATCATGATGCCGAAAACCTTTTCGAGTTTAAAACAATGAAATATATTACCAGTATTAACATAAAAGAACCGGCCATTTGACAGAACCTTTAAAAAAATTAGCAAATTGAATTGTTTTATTGTTATTATCATTAAGAAATTATTATTAAGTATATCATACAATTAACGATATAATTTTATTATAGTGCATTTATTAACCATATAACGCGGAATTTGTATTTTTTCGAAATTTAAAATATAAAAACATGAAACCAATAAGATCGCTACATATAGGAGCGCAGAGCGTGAGTAAACATTTGTGTTTACTCACGCTCTTTATAGGAAGTTCTTAATAGGACAAACTCTACCTTTATAGGAAGTTCTTAATCAGAGAGTTCTTTCAATATTGGTTAAATTTAAAAAAAAACGAGATTTGACTCGGGTTTGTATATAATAGACTTTTTTCGTTAACAAATATACTTTTCTCCAAAGAGTAATATTTATCTGTGGTATTTATATTGCTTTTCTCGTCACTATTGCTATATGTCAAAACGGCCATCATAGCGTGCTGCGGCCATACGCCATTTTTTTTAAATAACTATTATAATATACAATTTTATAATTATTTATTGACTAATGGCAAGTTAATAATTCTGTTCATCTTTTATTACATTATAAGGTACTTTTTGGCTATTTTATTTCAAGAAGAATTAATTATAAATTGGTATAATAAGTTCACCACGATTTTACTACATGCTTGATGTTTCTAACTTTATTTGAAATTTGCCATAATGATTGAGCAGACATTGTATGCTGCCACACGCTAAAAATAGGACTTTATTTTTTTTCTTTTATTTATTGAATTTAAACGATATAAAATTAATTGGAGTGAAATAAAAACTAAAGTATCTGTAGGCCTATTCGCATTTTTTTACATCTACAGTGTGTAACCGAAGTAAAAATTGCATATATATTTATGTTTTTCAGGACGTACCTATCTTACTGGCTTTATGATAAAGCAGTAGTGGATCTGTAAATCATGTGAGATCATCACTTCCACCTGTCAAAAATTGTTAGCGAATAGGCCTACTGTTCATGTTATAAAACAAGCCTTCAAATGATAAATGTTTCGTCACAGTCACGTCACAATGTTTCGACCAACTACAAGTGTCTGATCAAACCAATTATCTGCTGAATAGATCAAACACTAACTTGCCTGATGCCGGTTCTTCACTTAGCTATTCGTATTTGCTATTTATAAACATGGCAACAGTCGGTCCTTATCATGTTTTATGAGGGATGAAATGGAAAGACTAATATCAATTTTACAAATATCGTGTATTATTTTCTAGTAAAATTTCCTTATGCATAGTTAAGTAGTTAAGTCCCATGACCCATCGATACATGGACCAAGTTTCAATCGCTCGTCTGCTCGCCCACAAAAGTGACACAAACAAAATAGATCTGTGGCGTTTCGTTCCATTTTTACAAGTTTTAATGAAAACTTTTATTTATTATTATTTTAATTAATTTGTTTCTTGTTTATATAAAAATTTGAGCTTGTGTTTTAGTTCATAAATATAGATTTAACTTGGTTTGAAACAATATGACTTAATATGGCGGACTTATGTCTGTATTGTAGAATATTTTTGAAGGAATCCTCTAGCGAACGGAAAAGCAGAGTGCATATAATCTGACCAATTAGAAGAGGTACCCTTACCATTAACGTTATTTGATCCAAGGAGTACTTTTTAAAGTGGTTGGAGTCTAATACACATTTCATTACGCGCTGCCATTTTCGTTTTGTGGCACGGTCGAGTAGAGGTATGATCTAAATTAAATTGTATTAAATACTGTAAACAATTCCCATTGCAAAGTGATTTCATTTGCTGTATCGACTTCGATTTCTGAAGATTACAAGAACGCTGTACTTAAAACGTGACGGAAATTGTTGACATTCTGGGCGGATAAGGTAAGTCCTTAGTTCAATATTATTTCTGCTTATTGGGAGGGAAGGATTAACACTACTGAGGTCTTAGTTTAGCGCTATATATGTTTACCTTCCTTAGGAACAAAACAAAGTTCAGATGAATGTCTTATTGTTTGAGATTGATGTTCCTGCAAAATGGAAAATGGGCGTTGCGAAGGTTTTATTATCATTCGCGACACAGTCACCGCGCCTAATTGTAACTACTAGTGTTTGTCGTATTAATATTGAGTAATTAACCTTGTTGGTTTTGATCTTTGTCTTGATTTAATAAAATTAGTAGGTATTCTAACGTAGTAACCTCTAAATTCGGCAAGTAAAAGTTAGGTACCTCATATAATTTTCTTATTTGAAAGTTCTCTTCTATAATTGTGCCATAATCATAATAAACTCAAGTAACTAGTTGGTTTTGTAAAGTTTTGAATGTTATTGTGATCTTATTCAGAACCTAACTTGAATAATATCTATGTATTTTTGAATATAATTAAAAAATATTTTTAAATAATTGTAGTTTGATATACTTGCCAATTATAAGAGGAAATTTTCATTAGTAGTTTACAAATTAAAGTCCGATAGTAACATGATTCTTTTTTAGTACTTAAAAATACACACAATAGTTAAGAAATGTTGTATAATCCCTCAGGCATTAATCACTATTACTTATTAGTACACATTCTGAAATGGCACACATCATGATAATTATATCCAAAACTAGAAAAATAATGTATATTTTTTTCTTAAAAAATCTTTAATGTTATTACTTTAATAAGATGTTGTTAATCAAGTGATTTAAAAAATGTTGATAACCACTTGTGGGTTTTATTTGTACTAGTGGTTACACTACTGAATGGAGTGTCATGTCATAATAATTATTTGTATTTAAATAGTTCACTAAACAAGCTCATGAAATTTGACCTTTGATGGAAAAAAAAATTATCAAATATTTTATGGAAGTACGTTATAACTAGACTTGCAACGAATAGTATATTTGGCAGTATACCGAATATTCGGCGAGGCCCCTGACCGAATAGCCGAATATTAGGCAAAAGTATTCGGCAGGATTTTAGAGCAAAACACCGAATAGTAACCGAATATTCGTTGCAAGTCTAGTTATAACCCAAACTTAAAATTTTAAATTCTTTTTTTTTAAGTATCCATATTATCAAACTCGTTCTTTGGAGATTGTCTTATTATTAGTTAGTTTTATTTACATCCTCAAGTATTCCAAAATGTTAATATCATTTAAAAATTATTTTTCAATACCTATTTTGGATATTTATGGTTCCAAACTGTTTCTTTTTTATTAATAAAAATAATAGTGGGTGACTGTTGGTGATTGGCCTCACATGTAATTGTAAAACCACAAACGGAAAATTTAATTGGTAGCTGTGGTTATCCCTAATAAATAAATAATAATAAGGTTTTATATTCTGTATAATGCTATACTAGCCGGACAACTATATATCATCTAATCAGTCATCTTAACTTAAAAGAGAAGTAGAAAGAATGAAAATTTATTGCGATATGAAGGAAAAGGATCAGAGGATCTGATTGTTGACTAAAAATCACGAAAGTTGGCGAAAGTATTTTTACAGTGGTAAGGTTGACAGCATAGAAAAATATTGTTAAGCATGATTTGTGTAAAAAATGAATATAAGTTTATGAACAATGTCATTATTTGATTGCCATAATGCATTCCATTGTTTGTCACACTGAAAAATTACACAAATAATAAATATTTCTAATATTCAACTGCATTACGCATACCTTGGCCCTGGGGAAGGCGACGAGGTTATGTGAGACTCCTCCCCCCACCTACTGCCAACCCATAAGGCTGGCTCAATGACTGCTCTGGGGGCCCTACCCACTTAAATTCCAGGATGTGCACTCTCCTCTCTACCTCAGCTATCTAGCTATATAGCTAGTAGATAAGGGCCCCTTGTTGGAAATCAACAGATCAATGACGGATGAACCAATTATCCTAACCCCAAAGTAAGAATATTAAGGCTTTTGCTAGATACATAAAATAATACACAGTCTTACTGAGCACCCTGTGGTTCCACCAGAATTGGAATCCAGGACCTCTGAGAAGGCGACACCTTGAAGACCGGTCTACATAACACCCCACCCACATCCCACACCATAGAGGTCGTCAAATTATTTGCCTACAATATTTACATGAATGGTTTTGCCCATCGTATTAGCCCTAGGTATCAGACATACCAGTATAGCTATGCTCCATCGAACCGCTAGAGCTATCTAGAGTCTAGATATTTTCGTGTCGATCACACATGTGGGCGCCGGGTCATGTGGTCATTTTATGCCCTAACTAAGCCCTACGTGTTGAGGTATCAGAGGCCCAATCACGAATTCTGACAGCTCCATAATCGTATCGAATTGTCAGTTTCTATGAAAACCAAGAAGCGCCCCTACCGGACGTAAGAACAAAGTGGCTCCTTCGCTGTGCGCATCCTCCCACTGAGTTGTTGATTAAAGCTGCGATATAACTAGCTACCTGCTTCGACCACCTGCAAGGATTCAATGCTGCACTTTATTTTTATATCAAAATTTAGAACAATGTGTAATGTAGCGTGGTACAGATTTCAGATACTTCAAATTTAAATGGATATTTGCTAATTTATCTATTAGTCGTATTGTACTTCTTGCATTACTCTTGTGAGATTTTGTTATACCCAAATAGCAATCAAACCAAGTAAGGACTGTTGCGGGTTTCACGCTATGTGGTTGTCAGGCCAAGGATGGATACCATGAATAGAATAGCGGAATCATAGTTTTCAAAAGCTTCGCAAAATTATAAGGTGTTCCCAAAATTTAAGTAGCATGTTAAGAAAAATAGCTCTTAAATTAAGGCTTCCATAAAAGAAGTAGGTATACGGTTTGATTCGATCGCATCTCGCACGCATGGCTTCTCGTGTTTGAAACGTAAAACTGTTAATTTCTATCGAGCCGTTACACCGACTTACTTTCAAGTCGAGTTTCATGTTTTTTCAGAGCATAATTGTATTGATTTAATTTTGCACCTCAATGATTTCATGAGAGATAAACAATTTGCATTAATAATATTTGGACCGTTTAACCGAATGTTACGAATGTAGAGTTGATAATATTAATTTCATTAATATAGGAGCGAGTTAGGTTTCTGACCGAGTAGCGAAACGGAATTACAGTGTCTCCTTTTTACGGATGGAAAATGCGTTACCTATAGGTAAACCGTTTCTGAGTGTTCGCCTGCGGGGTACAGGGTGTGGGGGAGGACGAGAACGGGGACTGTGAGAAGTGCGGGCGGCGGGCACTTGTACAGGTCGTGGCACGTAACTCTAGCGCTGAACAAAACGCGGAGGGGATACCTGCTCTTGGTTACGACTGGAGAGCCTACCAGCGCAACACACCACCCGTGCACCTCGTTTTCCCCCAAGACATCTTAATTTTTACTTCTGCGCAATAACGGTCATCGCTAGAGTTTCGTGTTGGGAATTATTATTTTACCCCGTTTTACACCACCACTTATAATTTTACACCATTTACCCCGCAGGCGCAGGCTCAGTTAGGCGGTCTACCTATAATTTGCGGCTTAAATTTTGTATTTTGTTGCTGCTCATACTCAAAAGCGCAGTCCATCTTGAGGTCAGAATTCTGCCAGGCCCCGTCAATGGGCTAACTCAGTAGAAGTATTCATACAGTTCTTGAATACCATGTATTAGCCAAGTAGAATTTCTACAATCTCAGGCGTAATATAGGGTTTACCGTATTCTTATAAGATGATGAAAAATTTCAATCATAAAAAATCGTCTTATTTACTATGATCTTACTTTATTTTGACAAAGCCTAACCCTAATAATATGAGCCATTTTTTCAGATAACATTTATTTATTGGTTTATCCAGACGCAGAAGTTTTACACGACGTATTGTGGTATTCGATTGCGCTGCGCTAACTCGACGGAAGTGTCAATTTGTTGCCACCGACGACCCACACACGTTGAGTGCTGTGCACTATTGATGCCAACAGTCTCTCTGCCTCGCCTCTTGTACTCATCCTAATTAGAGTACTCTTACCTTATTGGTTTTTCACCGTCCTCCCAATGCGTGTTTACGCGTAGCAGTAACATAAGTTTTACAGTAGTAGCGCTATTGATTTACGGAACGAAATTACAGTACTAAACAGTCACTTATCCAACTAGTATACGTACGTAACTGATAAAGTATTAATATAAATTGCGATAGACTAATTCATGTCATTGGTGATGGATGATATACTATTTATATTTTACATCTTAACGATGATTTGAAAATAAATTATTCAGAAACGTGAAAAATAATATAAACAACAATTCTTCTTATAATGAAGTAGAAAATGAAATTAGGGGAACCCTTTAGAAAAAAGCCTTTCATAGAACGATCGTACAATATATAGTCTTAATGCTGTGGAGCTGTCTTTGCTGGTTTTCCTCCGCAGCAAAAAAATATGTCCAATAACGTAGAAGAAAAATTGGGCGATTCAGAAGAGTTGTACGAGGGCGGGATGATAAGTAACTAGCCTCTGCTATTTAAAAAATATGTATGTCATTTTTAAATTCGTGTCTTTGGCCACCTGTGTTCTAAATTTGAATTTGGTGAAAATTTTATTGATTTTTTTGTCATTTAAAAATATATTTCGTCAACTGTTTTCAAAATGGATGAAATTGAACAAAGAGCGGTGATGAAGTTTCTTCATATAAAGGGCATGTAGGGGAAAGATATCTATGACGAGTTAAAAAATGTTTTGGGTGAATGTGTTCCTTCTTATGCCACAGTAAAAAACTGGGTGGCTGAGTTTAAACGCGGTCGTACATGTGTCCAAAATGAGGCCCGCCCCGAACGTCCAAAAAGCGTCACGACTCCGGAAATGGTCGTGAAAGTACATGATATGGTTTTAGCAGATCGACGATTCAAGTTATCTGAAATAGCTAACACTACAGGTATCTCA